CCTACCCACCTACCCACCTACCCATCTACCCACCTACCCACCTACCCACCCACCTACCCACCTACCTACCTACCTACCTACCTACCTACCTACCTACCTACCTACCTACCTACCTACCTACCTACCTACCTACCTACCTACAGACGGACAGACAAACAGACAAACAGACGTGCAGACAGACAGAAAGCCAAACAGACATGCGTGTATACTTGTACGCATATGTATATGTATGGAGGAACCCCTTCTTGAGGCCGGTCAGATTCTACTTGAGTACAAGGGCCCTCCATCATTCTATACGAATTTGCGATATTCTTCGTGTAGAATATTGCTGCCCGGCACTACATATCTATCCACAAACCCTGAAACCCTACACCAAACAACTCTGAAAGTCTCAAACCCTGTGTAATGTGGGGGGCCTTGATAATTAGAATGGGGTTTTGGCGCCCATGATACTATGTTTAGAAGGAGCCCGCAAAATTATAGGTCATCATTAAGGCCCCGACATTAGACTTGGTTCCTTCTTATAATTATAGTACAATATATCCCAAAGCCCGATTCTAATTGTTAAGGCCCCTACATTACTCCAATTTAATAATAAGGATCCCCCAAACACGGTATAGGTAATTTACACGCGGCCTGCACTGCTCGAGCTTGTCTGTGCGGCGGATGTGCGCCGCAAGCGATCGAGCCACGTCCTGCTAGCATGCAACCACCGGGTTTAGGGTTTAGGGTTTTAGGGTTTAGGGTTCATGACCACCCATGTCATCAAAGCCTCATTCTCACACATCCGTAGTTCACAAAGGACCCTGCACAAAGACCTCTGGTTGAAAACCCGAGTCAATACCCGCAAAACCCCGAACTCTAAACCAAAGAAGTCCCAGCAACCCCAGTCCAGACCTCCTGCTGTGCATCACACCATGCTTCGACGCGCTGTCGAATGTTCGGGCGGACTCGAACCCACCGCCTGGCCGGTCAATCGTGTAGAAAGGGTTTAGGGTTTAGTCGGTTTTGGGGTTTAGGGGACATTAATCATATACGAGCCTTAATAATTTAAATAGGGTTTTGGGCTATATTATACTGTGTATAATAAGGAACCCACCAAAAAAGTTTAGGGTTCTCTACTAGACGGTCGAACAAGGCGATACAGGAGGCTGGTATAGGATGTTGGAGGGCTTCAGAAGCTTTGTACGGGGCTTGATGTAGATACGGTTGATGATATAAACCCTGCATTATCCATAATAAGGAATTTACCATAATTCCCATAGTTTAGGGTCCCTAAGGTAATGCAGGATGTATATCATCAACCGCATGGCTTCACAACGGCTAGGATTTCGGAGCTCTGGCGCTCCAAGGACTGCGATTCCATGAAGCGGCAGCAACCCACCTCCACCCTCAAACCGCAGACGCTGCCCCTGCAACCGAAAGCCTTACTCTCTAGTCCATGGGCTGGCCTAAAATAAGAACATAAGCAAACCCTAATGCAGGGCCCTTAATAATTAGAACAGGGCTTTGGGGGGGTATATTTTGCTATACTTGTAATAAGGACCATCCCCCCCCCAAAAAAAAAAACAAAAAAAAAAGTAGCATAGGAAATTCTTAAGGCCCTATATGAAGCAAACCCTAAACCCAAGCCCTAAACCCTAAACCCTAAACCCTAAACCCTAAACCCTAAACCCTATCCCCTATCCCCAAGCCCAAAGCCCTAAGCCCTAAGCC